ACGGGTCCTCTCTCTCTCTCTCTCTCTCTCTCTCTCTCTGGACGGAGGGGATCGGGAGGAAGCCTGACGGGAAGAGGCGAGCTTGGGGCTTGGTTTTGGCGTCGGCACAGAGAGCTGGGGTCGGGTGGAGAGGAGAAAGTAGCAAAAGGAAATGGAGTTTCGGCTGTGGCTTGGAGTCGAGAGTAGCGAGAGAAGTATCCATTCCTTCGCTATTTAACGACCTCTGCGGACGCTCGATCGAGGCCGGTTCTGAGCACAAATCACGGGATGCGACTCGAAGAGCGCCGAATCGGCGTGATTCAGGCAAGGATTCGCGGCAGAATTCGTGGATCCGCCGGGCACAGGGTATGTATGCAAGATTTTCATTTGAGCTTTCTTTCTCCCTTTTGTTCCTTTGGTTATTGTTCAGAGGTCAACAGTGCCATACCTTTCAAAAGCAACCAAGGCAAGGCAAGTATACAAGTGACCCAATACTTTAAAGAGAGAACTTCTATGGAAGTCTTTGTTATCAAAATCTCTCATGTTCCTTTGCCAGTTCAGCCAAACAGATACTAACGATAGTGATCTTATGCTCACGCTGGTAGAAGAAGTGCTCAACGAAATTATTCAAACAGACAAGGCGTAGAGCATGAACAGAAATAAAGCTATATTTAAGACCGTAAACAAAAAAAGAACAAAATGCAATACCCCATTTCCTCTTCCTCTTCCACGAGCCCTGCTGCTTTGATTGGTACCTGAAACAGCTCCACTTGGCTGGACCTATACTAATTTAATATTAGAAACTTCACTGTATAAATAGAACACATGTAAACGGAAAGGTCAAGCTCAACAAATAGAGTGCTATACAATTAAAACCCTGTAAAAAAGATTAAACATTTACTTCCGTATAATTGGAATCAAGGATAAAAAACAAGTCTCTATATTATTTTAGTTGTACGAAATTGTTTCCAAATAACTAAAAGTGAAGTCCAATGGCGGGTGAGAAATATGTTACTTCATGTAAACCACCTCAATATCATTTTTAAAAAACCTTCTTTTCATTAGTTGGGAACAAGTAAATTATTTGTTTTGGGCGCAAGGAGGGGCACTTCACATATAAATTTTGACATTTGATTTTATGATTTTATTCTAAAACCAGCACACAGAAAATCCTTGCAACTGTTTGAAGAAGTTACCTTGGCACAGCAAGAATTATTCCTCTTTCTATCTGATAACAATAAGAGAATTGCTATCAATATTTACTGCAGTGCATCTTTAAATTGATTTCACACACCTAAGCTTACAAGATCCCGATTGTATGGCATACCGGATAGCTGAAAAAATAAATAAATAAAAACCCCACCTAAAGGTAATAAGTTATATTGATCAAAAGGACCCATATTTATAGACAATAAATTAGAAGGTCAATGTTGACCCCTACTTCGAAATACTCGCAAAAAGAGGCAAAATCGGTGATTCAAGCAAAGCAGGCATCGATGCGGCGCATCACTTAACAGTCAAACGACCTCCAATCGCCAAACAGATTGCGCCATTGCGATCGAAGCATTGAATTCACCTAATTGGGAACCCCTCACAATCAAATCAGACGAGATCGATTAAAGGGGGATGACCGACACCCGAAATTGATGCCCGACAATACCCAAACTACATCCGATCGCAAAATGGACTGAGCCATTGCGATCGAAACGTCGTCAATACCCCAAAATTACTGTCAATTTGACCAATAAAAATTGTTCAGAGAAAATAACGTGCATTCCGAGACAACATTGCACAAATTGAGGAAATCGACATGAGACGTCATTGAAACGACCACTGATCGCAAAACAGACTGCACCATTATGATCGGAACATCGACAATACCGAAACAAAATGTAATTTTGCCCAATAAAATTCACTCGGACGAATCAACGCTTTTCTCGAGGTGAAAGATGGATAGATTTCAAGACAACACGTAAACCGAAGTAAAGCTACTATTTTAATTTCTATTATTCAATAATAATAATAACATTTGTGTTATTATTATTACTATTATCATTTATAATAATAGAAATTAAATTTTAAATAAAATTTCTATGCCTTGTATTTGTTGAACTGCTCAAGTCTCCAGAAATCTTGCAAAAATGCCGCTGAAATTCTGCAACACCATCTTCCGTAAATCCCGCAACTCGATCTGCCTCAATCGAGCGTCCCGAGCATCATTAGATCTCACAACCTTTACCTCACCAAAATCCATCTAGCTTACCACAGCCCATTATCAGCCCATTTACTCAAATCCTCACAACCTGCCAACACTCCAACAGCAAGCCCACTAAATCTAAATCCCATATAAATCAGCCCAACAACAAATTCACTCTGTTAACTTAATCAAAATCCGAACATAAGGTTTTTTCTTCTTTGTTTGTCCTTATTGTTAGCATTAATCGTCACTGATAGTTAGTGCAGTTAATGTTATTACCATTTTTATTAACTAGTCTTTATTTATGTTATTGTTACTGTTAACTAAAATAATAATAATAATAAATAAATAATAATACAAAAAAAAAAGAAACAGTTGAAAAGAAAAAAAAGGCACTTGTGCATTTTCTCGTCGCCATCGACACCATCGTAGTCGACTTTCTAAGCTAAGGTATAATGCTCCTTAGCATAAAGATCCCTCCAAGTCCTATTTTCGATGTTTGCGGTGCGTCGAAAGGCCCCTATGCAGACTTTTCTTGGCCTCGTGGGAGAGAACCCAGTGCGATGCTTGCAGCAAGGTAGGCAAGCCTTATGCACGCTTTTGTTAGAGTGACAAGGTAAAAAAAAATAAGTACTTGTGTTTGTCTCAATGCCTGTGGGGAAAAACTGCATCTTCAAATAAATACCCCTAAAGAACCATGCACACCTTTCTTGGCATGATGGGATTGAACACTACGACAGCACTGTCACCTGACACTGATCGTGCACGTCTTTCTTGATGTGGCGGGCAGGCGATGACTCATGGAATTTTTCCTAAACAGGAAAGATGCTGGGAGACCACCAAAAATTGCACTGACAGGGGACTTGATTTGAAATCAAATGAACCGCATGGAACCGAACTTTAATTTGACAAATTCACGATAAAATTTGAAATGCTAATTAATAATTTGAAGCATTTAAATAAATATCATGCAAGCAAATAGAAGAACCATGATGAACAAACTCTCAAGGCATACAAATGATGATCAATGAACTAAAGCATTCAAGAGAATACCAATTGACGAACATGAAACTCGTGGTGGACGGAATTTCCAATATTTGAAACACCTAGTAATTCATACACGAGCAAAACATAAGGGTGGAAATAAGAGTTGTGCAGCCAATACATGCACGAAGAATGAAGCACATTCATAAACAAAGAAAGAGAGCTATCACGAAGAAATATCCTACCCACTATCAACAACATGTTAATCAACACTAATTCTCTTGTAAAATAATGTGATAGGAAATACTTGAGTTCGCAAGTAACCCTAATGGGAAATACTTGAGTTTGCAAGCAAAACTAACAATAATCGGTAAAACAGCGAGAAAACGGAAGAAAATATGGTGGAAAAAACAATCAAACGATAGATAGTCTTATAGAAAGCAAAGCAAAACAAGAAGGAAACAAAGATACAATTGATCCTCAATTCAAGAGAAGGATCGTTCTCTCCAAATCTTTAGATGATGAATCTAGATCCCAAAACTCTAAGATAACTCCAAGGGAATAACTCAAATCATGCCTGCCCTAACCCTAACCTCTCATGTTCTTTAAATACAATCCTTCCTAATACAAAGCTTCCTGATATAAATAAATTTTAAATCGCCCTCCTCTTGCTTAAACCACCCTCCCCCTCTCTCCTATTGCTACCCAAGGCGGTGGGGCCCATTTGATTAGGTAGAGGGGTTTAGAGCAGGCAGCTTAGTCCACTTCCTTTATGTCTGAATCGACCCCTCCTGGGCCGGTATGGGGTGAGGCGTAACAATAACCCCTTCCCAAAGAACCACCTTGTCCTTAAAATGAAAATTGGGAAACTGATGTTTCACCCTCTAATAGGGTTCCCACATGGCATTATAGTCCATAAGGTTTTTCTACTTGATTAGCACTTCTTTAGCTCCATCTCCTTTCTGGCGAACCCCCATCAACTCTAAGGGTTCCATAATCACCTCTAAATCCTTAGTGAGTGTCACCGGTAACTCCGGACTAGCTGTATAATCTCCAATGGCCCTTCTCAATTGGGATAGATGGAAAACCGGATGTATAGTTGATGTTGGTGGTAATTTCATGTAGTACGCTATCACCCCCATTTTCTCCAATACCTCATAAGGTCCAAAGTACATTGGGGTCAGCTTCTCATTCCTCCTATTGGCGACTATCTTCTGCCTGTACGGTGGTCTGAGATTCAAGAACACCCTCTCCCCCATGTTAAATTGGACATCCTTCCTATGGCCATCAGCTTGTTTCTTCATAATCTGTTGGGCACTTAGAAGATTCCTCTTTAACTCTTCTAACACTCTGTCCCTCTCCTCCAAATACTTCTCCACTGAAGAAACTGAAGTAATGCTGCTCCCAAAGTGTACCAAGTGGAGTGGATCTTTTCCATAAAACACCTTAAATAGGGGTCATCTGAGAAGCAGAATGATAAGAGGTATTGTACTAGTACTCAGCCCATGATAGCCACTTGACCCAAAACCTGGGTGTCTCCGACACAAAGCACCTAAGGTAAGTCTCCAAGCTTCTATTGACTCCTTCTGTTTGGTCATCTGTCTGTGGGTGGTAAGCGGCGATCCTCTTTAGGACAGTCCACTTCAACCTGAACAATTCTCTCAAAAAATGACTGAGGAACACCTTATCTCTATCTGACATGATTGCCTCCAGTACCCCGTGCTATCTTCCACCTCTCTGATGAAAGCTGAAGCCACTGTCACTGCGGTGTAAGGATGTCGGAGTGGAATAAAATGAGCGTACTTGCTCAATCTATCTACCACCACCAGAATCACCATGAAGCCTTCTGAATGGGGTAGCCTATCTATGAAGTCCATAGATATCTCCTTCCATACCCGTCCTGGGTCTCTGATACGAAACATCTCAGGTAAGTCTCCAAGCTCCTGTTGACTACTTCCGTTTTACCATCCGTCTGTGGGTGGTAAGATGTACTCCTCTTCAGAACTGTCCCCTGCAACCTGAACAATTCTCTCAAAAAATGACTGAGGAACACCTTATTTCTATCTGACATGATTGCCTCTGGTACCCCGTGCTATCTGCCACCTCTCTGATGAAAGTTGAAGCCACTGTCACTGCGGTGTACGGATGTCGGAGGGGAATAAAATGAGCGTACTTGCTCAATCTATCTACCACCACCAGAAACACCATGAAGCCTTCTGAATGGGGCAGCCTATCTATGAAGTCCATAGATGTCTCCTTCCATACCCGTCCTGGTAACGCCAATGGTTGTAGTAGTCCCCCTGGTGACATAGCCAGGTATTTGTTCCTCTAACAAATCTCACACCTTGTCACCATCTCCTCAACATCTCTATGCATTCCCTTCCAGTAAAACTCTGTCGCTAATCTCCTGTAGGTCTTCTATACCCCTGAATGGGCCCTAACCGCATTCCATGAAATTCCTGGAGTAAGTTTGGGATGTGGATGGAGGTCCTAGGCATCACGAACCTCACTTGATACAGCAGTCTGTCCCCCTCAACTGAGTACTCTGGGTGGCTACCACCTGCCATCAATAATGCCATCTTAATCTTCCCCAACTCCT